GGGGTACTGGGCAGGCCACCTGGCAGGAGCTGCGTGACCATCAGTGGAGGGACATTGGAGCCCATGGGAACCCCTAAGAGCCGTCCTCACTCTACCACCCACCCTCACTGACTCACCCTGACTCATACTGCCCCTGCAGCTGCTCTCAGACTCCCTTGAATACCCAGGAAGACCTGGGTCTTCTGTTAGGTCCACTGAATCCTAATGTTCCAGAGTCAGGAGCGAGCAGATGATGTTTCTTGGGCAGTGTAGGTTTTTGCTAGCCTCCAGGACAAATCAGAGCCCAGGGCCTATTAGGTCGCACTCAGGGCTAGGATGCAGTATGTCAGCATGGTGGGAAGAGAGAAAGGGAAAACCAAAAGTAGGCTTGTCCATGGCTTTAGTTGACTGTCTAGGAGGTGAGTAAAAAGGGAGAGCTGGCCAGTACCAGGAAGTCAGCCAAAACAGCAATGTCCAGTTGTACCCAAGACTGAGACCACCTGGACCTCAGGGAAGGCTTAGCTGGGTGGGGCTGAGTCCCAGGAGACCTGGGACCAGGCTGCTGAGAAATGAACCAGATATACTGGTGCTGGGGGCTCACCCACCCCAACCCATGCCTGTCTGTCCTCAGAGTCACACCCCCAGCTCTTCACCCATCCTTCCACCTGTCTGGGTGGGCAGAGAGTAGGTGAAGGTGGGGGTGGTTCTGCAAACTCAAATACACAGTCCACGGACACACAGGTGAGATCTCTGAGTGTTGCCAATAGCTTGGCAAGAAAATCGAGGCCAGTCTCCTATGAGAAAGATGAAAGCATGTGATCAGACCGAGGGCCCCAAGCAGCCTGGGTTCTCACCCTGTCCTCAGGATAAGTCTCCTATACCCTCAGCTGTCTGCTTAGCACTGGTCAACATCCAGACATCAGCAGCTTACACTGAGTGAAGCCTGAGACTAGGGAACACATGGGTCAAGGGCATGACCTTGAACCACAAACAAACCCAACCCTGCTCCACAGCTGATACCCAAACCCAGGGAAATCCCCACTGGTGATGGTGGGCAGGGTAACCAAATTTGACAGGAACCACACAAAGGATGATTGACAGGGGCTCAGCCATAGCCCTACTTGCATACAGAGATTTCCAGCTCTGGCTGTAACAATGTCTGTCCCCCTGGACTACTTTCCCACCCCTCTGTCTAGTGCTAGGGACCCCTCCATTCCTTCCCTATCCATCCCTCTGCTTGGAACAGCTGGGTCTTCATGGCTAGTCTCCCATGTCCTGCTGAGCAAGGATGCTGGAGGACATTGAGGCTCCTTCAAATGTCACTGGTCTGAGGGTCCCTAGAGAGTCTCCCCATAGAGCTGACAATTTGCAAGTGCCCTGGGCCTGGGCCTGGCTATCGAGTGGACTAAGAAGGGGTCACCAAGCTCCCACTGGCCCTGCTCAAGAGGTGAAATGCAGCATGGCAGCAGGGAAGGGCATGGGGTGACTATCTGGGACATGTCCTAATCCAGAAACAACCAGGCCCATCACCTCCTGGCTGTTTTGAAATGAAGATCCACTGCTTCAGTAGAGCAGGGCTGGTAACCCACGCTGCATCCTGTCACACACCTGGGGGCTCATGCAGGTGCTTCATGAGCTGCAGGTGGTCCATGAACCAGAATTTGCAAAACTCAAGTTTAGGACTCATCCCTCTGGCCTTGGCCTTAGTCTCCCCTCCACACTCTGACCCTGCACTCAAGGGGCTACATGGTTCCAAGGGCTGAGGTTTTCTCCAGGCCACCTGGACGTCAGGGAGCCCACACACACACACACATGGCTGTGGCTTCAACTGCTCTCCAGGGCCCTCAACTGAATTACCATGCAAGGCTCCTGTGCCAGTTGGCACCTCCTCTCTTAGGAGACTGTGTTACTATATGAGCCATGACTGTGATACAGAAGGGCAGGGGTATTTACTAGCACAGTAATTAGGGGTGCATTTCAGATCTGGGGGTGGTGGGAGGGGTGGGATAAGTTGTGGGGTGTTTATATTTTTATTTTTTATTTTTGCAGTGCTGGGGATTGAACCCAGGGCCTCTTGCCTGCTAGGGAAGTGCAGGACCACTGAGCTACACTTCCAAGAAGTGAGCTACACTTCTTTATTTTACCTTGAGACAGGTGTTTGCTAAATTACCCAAACTGACCTCTAACTTGGAATACTTCTGCCTCAGCCTCCTGAGAAGCTGGAATTACAGGGGTGAATCACATTGCCCAGTTTATGGGGTGTTTTTTTTTGGAGGTGATATGTGTGTGTGATGATGATGTGAGGTGTGGGTCACTTTGAGTGGTGTGTGTTTGTGCAGTGATGTGTGATCAATTTTGACTGATAGTGTGATGTGAACAGTATCTGTGATTGCAATGTGATGACAGGTATGTGCCTGGGGAGATGTGAGGTATGTGTGAGTTGGGGGTGTGGAAAATGTCTTGTGTATATGATTTGAGATGTGTGTGCAGCATGAGGTGTGTGTCTATGCAATGATACAAAGCATGTGTGTGTGTTTGTGGTATGAAGCATGTGAGTTTATGGTATGAAATGAGGAATATGTGTTGTATGTGTGGTATGATGTGAAGGTGTGAGTGAGTGTGGCAGGGGTTAGGGTGAAAGGCAAGCTTCCAGGGTGCTTACTCAACATTACAGTGGACGTCAGGATGCCTGGGTGTTGGGTTCTAGATCAGCCCTCTCCTGAAGGCCACATCTATAGAGAGCCCCTACCTTTTAGTGAGTACCTCTTCTGCACTGCCCCACTCTGAACATCCCTGAGCCCCCTCTGGCTTCTGACTCACTCAAGACTCCCTTTGAACATGCTGCAAGACATTAGAGTGCCCCAGGGGCTCTCTCCTCTTGTGATGCTGCTCACACACCACACACAGACCCAGCATCGCCCAGAGGAAAGCCTGTGGCGCCTCTCCCTGCATTCCTGGCTTCTTCCTCAGTTCAATCAATCCATTCAGACTCTAGCACTGCAATGTGGTACGAGTGCTCTTATCTCTGCTGGTTCTGGAGAATTCCCACTGACATGTGACCTTCTCCATTCCAAACCCACCACAAGATAAACAGGGTCTTGGTGGAACCCACAACACAAACCACAGCTTGAGGTCAGAAGTCCAAAATCAAGGTGTCAGCGAGGCCACACTCCTCTAAAGGCTCAAGAAAAGACCCCTTCCTGCCTTCTTTCAGCTTCTGGTGGCCCCAGCAAGTCTTGGCATTCCTTGGCTCAGATTTCTGGGAGCCACCAGAGAGATCCCAGTCTCTGCCTCTGTCACCACATGGCTGTCTTCTCCCTTGTTCTCACTTCTTATGACACCAGTGGAATTGGGTTAGGGGCCCACTTTACTCCAGTATGACCTCATCTTAACTCATTATATCTGCAGTGGTCCTATTTTTAAATACAGTTGCCCTGTGGTGTACTGGTGTTCAGAACTTGAACATATCTTTTAAGGGGACACAATTCAACGCATAACAGCACAGTCTGCAGTGAAAGTGGACAAAGGGCAAGCCACTTCCCTCTCATTCCTCCTGGGCTATCACCCTCTTGCACTGAAAAGCCTGAGCCCTGCAGGGCTCCTGCATTCGCCCTCTGGAGCCAGGGAGCTCATGACATTGAACAGACTGGGGCCTTCTTTGCAGCCAGAGTCTCTGGTGTCCACATAGCAATGACAGTGCACATCTGTAGAGGGCTGGGCAGCTTCCACGCTGTTTGTATCTCATCGTATGTACAGATGCAGCTGTGGCATGCCCACCTCCAAGAACTCCTTGCTCAACACAAGGTCATCTGTCTCTGCTCTGGGGTCTTCTCCCAGCTGCCATAAAATCACTCCATTAAGGCCTCCAGCCACCTGTAAGTCAGGCCTGCCCTTTGTCCCTCACCCCCACACCTAGGTGAAGAAGTGCAGGCTCCTCCCTTCCCTCCCCACACACCCCTCAAACAGTCCCTTTGTAGTGCATCCACCTGTTCCCTGTATAGATATTGAGATGGGGGTGATTGTAAGGTTGGTGCAAGCCAACCTGAACTCTACTATGGGCAACCCAGACGCACCACTCATCGTCTGTCACCAGGAGCTGCAGGGGGCGTCCTGGGATGGAGTGGAGACTGCTCAAATGATCCACGACTTCATGAATTCATTTGGCACCTACTGGGTGGCAGGGTGAGGGTGATGTGGATAAGACTGGTCCTGCCTAGGAGGGTGTACTGCAAAGCCCACCTGCAAACGCTTTCCCAAGGTGGGACATTCTGGGATCAGCCCAACAAATCAGGGGGAAATGAGAGGTGATACATAACAAAAGGACAAGGTCTTAGCGCTGGAGGTATGGCTCAATTAGTAGAGCGCCTTTCTTGCAAGTGGAAGGCCCTGAGTTCAAACTCCAGAATAGCTAAAACCAAGCAAGTGTGCAAAAATATCGCAGCACATATGTGCTTCAGGGTGAACATCCGTAAACAAAACTACATTCAAATGAGCTGAGGTGGGAGTGCATTAGCAGAAGTGAAACTGCCTTAGCAATGTTTGCAGAACGCAAGTCTCAAGTCAGCCTCCCCGCGGCTATCGGTGGCCAGCTAGCCGGCCGGGCTCGAGCGCCCCCTGCTGGCTTGGCTACGCAGTGGCAGCGCAGCAGCCCGCGGGCAGTAGCCACAGCTAGGCCAGAATTTCTGCAGCAGGCTGGGTGCGGAGGTGACTTTAGGTGACCGATCCTGGGACTGGATTTGGCCTTAAGAACACGAAACCAGGCCAGTGATTCTCATGGAGCCCGGCCGCCCCCTGGGCACGGTCCTTGCAGTTCAGCGCGCCCTCGTAGGACAGCCTACGAGGAAGGGTAGTGGGGGAGCCCAGCGGGGGCGGGTGGGGGGACGGAGGGAGGAGCCTGTCGGGGTCCGGGCTGGTTAGTGGAGGGGAGGAAGGAGTAGGTGGGGCCTGGGGCGGGGCTATTCCGTGCTGTCCCTAACCAGCTGTCCCGCCCCAGCTCACCTTTCGTCAATCCGTCAGTCCGGGGACATGACTGGCACGCCAGGCTCCGCTGCCGCTGGGGATGGCGAGACCCACGGGAGCTCCCCTCCCTGCAGTCCAAGCTACGATCTCACGGGCAAGGTGGGTGGGCACTGTGCCTGGCCCTGGGGATTCGTGGGCCGGCTCTGAGGGACATCCCTCCCTAAGCCCTTTGCCGTGGAACCCTGGCCTCCCTCGGCCCACGCCTCTCTCTGGCTGCCTGTGGATTGGATTCAGCCCTTCCCCCAGTCAACCAGAAGGAGGGAGGGAGGGTCAGGATATAGCCCCTGGGTCCTCGTCAACCTCTAAGATCTGGCTGGCTGGGTGGGCACGGGGCAAAGGAAGATTGGAAGGTCTGAGAGACTCCCCACCCCATGAACCCCAACCCAACTTTCTTCTGCCATGCTTTGGAATGCCATGTCTCTTCGTAAGGACTAAGTGGACGCAGGCTAGAAAGCGCTAGCCTGAAGACTCAGAAAGGACGCCCCCTAGCGGCAAGGCAACTCGCAGCTAATGCTGTTTTTCAGCTAAGTTCTCAGAGACCGACATCCTTTCAATAACTTAGGCTTGAAATTCTTTAGGTGCCTATGCCTTGGCAAATCCTAGCCCCAGGCTACAACACTGCCTCACACTTTCCTCCCAGCAAGAGAGCCACCAAACACCAAACACCATCCTTCTAGGAGGCTGTTGCTAGCCAGAGTGCAGGCCCACCTGTGAAATTTTAGAACCTGAGAAAAATCAGAGATTAGTCACAATGTCCCCCACCTGAGACAGCTGTAAAGGCAGCAGAGGCGCATGCCCTCTGCAGGGGTGACCTGTATGGAAGCAGGTGGGGACAGCGTGGACACGGGTCTGGCTCATCCCTATCCTTGGAGCAAGCAAGGTCCAGGAACACTGAGCATTCAAAGAGATGCTGAGAAGCCCTATAACTTGCACTTTCCTTCTGCAGGGTTGGAGAGAGATGAGTGAGGGCTGTGCTCCACCCAAGGTTTCAGGGGAAGCCACTCTGCCAGCTACCCGCCCAGAGCCGTTGAGATAGGCGCCCTGTGTGGGCTTGTGGCCGGAAATGGGCCCCTGCACCCTCAGGGGATGGGGAGCGGTTGATGGCCAGCCCCCACGCTGATGGGGACCTTCTGACCTTATTGCCCTACAAGGCGGCTGGGCTGTTTGCCTAGGAGGTGGCGAGGCTGAGTGGCTGTTTGTGTTTGGTGGACTTGTCTGGCGGGGTGGCTGGCTATATCGTTTGCTCAAGGCAGCTGTGATCTGTAAAGTACACAGGCACCAGTCCTGCCTGCCTCCTTTCTCAACTGGGGAGAAAGGCTCCCGGGAGCCAGGGAGGAGTGCGGGATCCAGAGGTCCCCATCCCCCCATCTGTCCTCTGAACAGACATCTGCAAGAGAGTTGACCCCCAGTCTGCCAAGACTTGTCCCAATCTTGAGCCCAGAACTGTCTAGGAGAAGCCTAACAGGAGAGCTCCTCAGCCAGATTTAGGAGGGTTGGGGGCCACAGGCAGGCAGCACCCATCCCTGGGCCAGCTTTCCCTGAGGCCCAGGTGGTTCCTGCCGACATGAGTATTCCTAGCATTTGACAAACTCTAGAAAGGCCTCAAAGAAATGGCCCTTCCTCCCTTCCACCTACTATGGAAACCAAGCCACAGGAAGGTTAAGAATCTTCCCAAAGTCACATAGTAGGCCATTTACAAGCCAGCACCCCAGCCTTATATACCTTATGCTTAGCCCCCACCCCCTACACACACCATCTCTCCACCAAAGTTAGCTGATCCCAAGACCCCACAGCTGTAGCAGGAAAACTTTTGGCTCCATTGTCAAATTCAGAGTCTCAAAAATAAGTTAAACCTGGTTAGCAGTCTCACCAGGCAGTTGGGAACATTTCAGCATTGAGTCTAGACTCCAAGATGGAAGAATGACAGAGAGCTCCCTTCCACCATTCTTAGATGCCCCCTGCAGTGACCCAAGGATGCCAATTTGCGACCATTTGTCTCACTGGGAGGTTTCTGCAGAAAGAATTTCAGACCAACTGTTTCCCCATCTCAGTGTAAATTCCAACCTTCCCTAATGCAAGCATTTATAAACATAGACCCTCACTAGAAACTTCCAAATAAATGCTTGACCCAAAAAAGAAACCCAAACAGTAGTAATTTTAGAACATGCCTGTACCAGGCAGTGCCCCGCCCATCAGTTCTGATAGGCTCCCTGGGGTGGGATCCCGTTGGAGACTAACCACTTCCTTTTCCCAGTGCTGAGGTCCTATCCACACGTGTATGCCTGAGTGGTACATACAGAGAAGATGAAATCCCTGCACCATGTGGCAGTGGGCAATTGTGTCAACTCTAGACCACTTGAATGTGAGGTTCTCTGGGGCCACCAAGCACATTTGGAGGTTCCAACCCAGGATTCCAGGTCATTGCATAGGGACAGGGGGGTCAGAGGGAGAGCTGGGAAGCCAAGGAGAGGTGTGTGGAGAGGAGAGACAGTGTGGAGGCAGGTGCCCCTCTATCCTGCTGGAATCCTTCCCAGCCTCCACCTCCTCTGATCCTCTTTCCAGGATGACGTCTCTCCCTGGAATCCCAGAGGCTCCCCCTGTTAACTGCCTCTGCCCCCATCTCCTAGGTGATGCTTCTGGGAGACTCAGGTGTCGGCAAAACCTGTTTCCTGATCCAATTCAAAGATGGGGCCTTCCTGTCCGGGACCTTCATAGCCACCGTCGGCATAGACTTCAGGGTGAGGTGGCTGCAGACACCTCCTCCAGGCAGTGAACCTGGGCTGCAGCTCAGGAGGCTGCTCTCTCCTTGCCTACCATGGCTTTCGAGGACACCTGTGCTCACTGCCTGGAGGGCCCCAGGGGTGCTCCTCTCCTTTCCCATCCCACCCACACCATGGAGGTGGCAAGGTTTGAGGTATCTGGGCAGAATTGGCACCTTGCCCACATACAAGCATGAAAAACAAGACTGAGTCTTCCTCTCCTCCACTCCTGGGCCCAGGAGAGGGTAGACCCATCCCATGGCTTAAGCCCTGAGGGCCTGTTGCCCTTGGACCTCACCTGGGCGCCTCTGGCAGGCCTCCCAGGTCAGTCTTCTCCAATTGCCGGGAAGCACAGTACAGCACTAGGCTAGGCTGGCTGTGTGTGGAGGGCCCAACTCGCAGGGCTACCAGTCTGTAGCAGGGGTGCTTAGCCCTGCACAGCAGAGGCCTAGGAAGCGAAGTGGAAGACCATGAGGAAGTTTGGTACCTCCTCTGAGTGGGTGGGGTGCTAAGAACTGTGATAGCTAGTGCAAAGGTGGCCCTGCAAGTCTAGCCTCTGAGAGCCCCAGGTGCTAGTGGGCACCTTGTCTCCCAGGGCTCCATGACAGTCATGGAGCTGAGTTCTGGGAGGAGGTGCAAGTGGGGAGCCTCTGGTGCCTCACCCTGTGCAGCGTACTGAATCCTGGAGAAAGCAGGGCAGGTGCTCAGGCTCCCTTTGCCCTGCTGTGTATGAAAAGAGCAGATGCAATCCCCAGAAGGTTAAGGTGTGTGGGGGCAGGGTCCCTGCCACCTTGATGGGGTGACCTGTCTGGCTGAAGACCTCTATGGGCTCACCACACCTGAAGACAAAGAAAAAACATTGCCAGAGCTCAGGTCCAGCTTCCCTGACTTCCCCATCCTCTGCCCTCTTCTATTTCAGAACAAGGTGGTGACTGTGGATGGTACCAGGGTGAAGCTGCAGGTGAGACAAGAGGCTGGAATTGGGGGAGGAGTGGAGGAGCTTGCCTTTGATCCTCACCCTGAACCACAGGAGGCCTGCAGCCCTGCCCTCAGCCTGGGGTAACTTCCTGTGGGGCCCACGAGAGGAAATGGTTTTTCTTTGTTTAATGTCTACAGAAAAGGCAGTTCCCAGGCACCCTCTCTCCTAGCAAAGGCAACTCAAAATGCTTTTAGCCAAGCTTAGCCTTCCTCCATCGTCCCAGCTTTCTGGGCCTCACTGGGGATCCCCACCCAGGGCTGGGAAGAAGAGACAGCACAGAACGGGTCTGAGAATCTAGTGACTACCACGGTCCAGGATGGCATCAGGATGGTGCTCAGGAGCCCAAGAAGCGAGAGAAGCCCCCTTCCTGCAGACAGCTCACTCCACAGCACGGGCCTCCAGCCTACAGTCTCTGCACCCTGCCTCCTTCTGACCTTTTCTCCCTCCCTTCATAGATCTGGGACACCGCAGGGCAGGAACGCTTTCGCAGTGTCACCCATGCTTACTACCGAGATGCCCAGGGTAAGTCCCATGCCCTCCAGCCCCTTCTCCCCGACTCTCGGCAGCACCCATGTTGCTGCCCTAACCCTCTGTCATCAATCTGTCCCCCACCAGCCTTACTCCTGCTGTATGACATCACCAATAAATCTTCCTTCGACAACATCAGGGTATGTCTTCCCTCCCTGGGTTCCCCACCCTCACCCCCATAAGCAGCCAGGGATGGGCCTCTGTGGGTCAGATTGACTCCTGCTCTGTGGGAACAGACAGACCATGGAATCCCGTCACTTATAAAAAACACCCAACTGTGACTGGGCATTTCATTGCCAAGTGGGCATGGAGACCAAGGAGGTTATTGTGCCCCATGCCACCTGCATAGCCTTGACCATGATTCATGAGTGTGCTTCATGTCAAAGTGTTCAGAACAGTCCTGGCTCCACCCTGGACAATTATCCACATGGATCCAGGGCAAAGCCCAAGCAGAAAAGTCCACCCATACATCCAGCCCAAGTTGCAACTCAGGCAGACAGAGTGGCTGGGTCCTCACAACCAAACTACTAGAGAGTGAAGTAATCATCTAATAAATACAACCACCGACTCTGTGCGCAACAAGTTATAGCTTTCACGTGCTCTCTGACATCAAGGACAGTGTGCTGAGCTGGTGCCCATGGCTCACGTCTATAACTCTAGCTACTCAGGAGGCAGAGATCAGGAGGACCATGGTTCAAAACCAGCCAGGGCAAATAGTTCATGAGACCCTACATCAATAAAACCCATCATAACAAAAGGGCTGGTGGAGTGGCTCAAGTGGTAAGAGCACCTGCCTAGCAAGTGTGAGGCCCTGAGTTCAAACCCCAATCCACCAAAAAAAAAAAAAAAAAGGACAGGGCTGACAAACTGGGGGGATAAGACATAAAGATATACAAAGGATGGAAAACTCATGGCCCTTAAACTGTCACCTCTAATCTCATGCTCATTACAGACATCGGTAATCAATCACAGTACTTTTTTTTTTTCAATGCTGGGAACGGAACCCAGTGCACATACTAGGCAAGTGTGCTACCACGGAGAGATATCCTCAGCCCTTGGAGGGTCTGCTGTGTAACCCAGGCTAGTCTAGAACTTTGTGTTCTACCTGAGCCTCCATGTGCTCGGGTTACAGGTGTGCACAACCACACCCAGGCAATCTCATCACATTTGATCACTGACCCCTTTTATGGTCTTAGAATCCTCAACAGGGCGCTCTAAGAAAAGAATGGCCTGGCCAAATCTTGGCTTAGCTCAGCTTCCCCTCTCCCACAGGCCTGGCTTGCAGAGATTCATGAGTATGCCCAGAGGGGTGTGGTGATCATGCTGCTAGGCAACAAGGTGAGTGGCTTCTGGCGGGTCCATTCACCTTGCCCCTCCTCTCTCCCAGCCTTAGCATCAGCCCTACCCAACTGATGTAGGAGTCAGATGTGTCTGATGGCTTCTCCTTATCCCATTGCCCTCTTAAAGTTTTGTAAATAGTCCCTTCTAGGGAAAGTCCAAGCCGCTGCCCGGCCACCATTAGATCATAATGATCAGTGTCAAGGGTCAGGGCCAAATGCTGTCATCCCACTGAGGCTGGGTTGTCACACCCTTTGCCAAGGAGAGTTACTTATCTTCCAAGGTCAGAGGTGAGATCCCAGGGCTGGAAGTTGGGCACACAGCCTGAACAAGGGAGAAACCTAGGTCCCAGGCCAATCCCACCTGCCTTCAGTCCCTCAGGCCACCAGCAGAGGGCAGGCAGTGCCTGCTCCTAGGGCTAAAGAAGGGCCTACTGGGGTCAAGGCTTCCTTCCCCAGACTGACCCACATGGGCTTAACAGGCAGATGTGAGCAGTGAAAGGGTGATCCGTTCAGAGGATGGAGAGACACTGGCCAGGGTAAGTGACTGCTGATGGAGGGGGATGGAGTGGGGTGGTGAACCAACCAGAGGCTGGCCCTAAGAACACTCTCTTCTGAGCAGGAATACGGCGTTCCCTTCATGGAGACCAGCGCCAAGACGGGCATGAACGTGGAGTTAGCCTTTCTGGCCATTGCCAAGTGAGAGCTAAGCAGGAAAGGGAAAAATACGGGTCATGGTGGCATCATCTGGGAGTCCAGTAGGCACAAGCCCCTGGGCCCACCTGCATTCTGCATTTTCAGCTCCTTTTGCTCCTGGCTATGGGAATGGGGTTGGAGAATGCCTGATCTGCACTCCCAGCCTAGCCCAGCCCAATCTAGCCCATTGCTTTTCTTCTTCTAGGGAGCTGAAATACCGTGCAGGGCGGCAGGCCAATGAGCCCAGCTTCCAGATTCGAGACTACGTGGAGTCCCAGAAGAAGCGCTCCAGCTGCTGCTCCTTCGTGTGAATCCCAAGGGGCTGAGAGGAGCAGCTGTCTCCCCCGCACTGGCTTATTCTGAGTGACTGAGCCAATGGAGAGAGAGCTGGGGACCCAGTACACAGTCTCTGCCTACAAGGAAGCTGTACCCCAGCTGCCACCCTAGTTCCTATAGCTTCCCTACATCCCAGGGGAGGGTAAAATACTTATGTCTTAACTTCATTATCCATAACTTAATACCAAAAAAGGAGCACCAAGCGTGCCCAGAAAACCAAGATAGATAGGGACCTGCTGGTCCTTTTCCCTTCTTGGGACTAGGACCTAAGAGGCTGAGGGGGCTTCCCTCCTAGCAACAAGGGTGATACTGCTCCAGCTCAGCAACAGGGGACACTGATGTACTTCCGGGGTGTAACAGCAGGTAATGACTCCATCTCCACTCTCACTTCAGCTGGAGTGGCTGAGCAGACCCCAGCCTTCACTTCTTCCAGCTCTCTAGGGAACAGTCTTCCTCATTAAGATGGGTCCTCACACTGGGAGTAGACCAAGGCCAAGGGGAAAGTAAGATTTGCAAGGATTGTGACAGAGAGGAGTAACAGAGAGTAGGTAAGGTCTGCTTGTTCTGCTACCTCTGGCCTTCCTAAACACCCTCCTGGAGGCATGCCCTTTTTCCTCCAGCTGCACACAAGCACATGGAGGCACCTGGAAACTGGTTTCTATTCTCTGCACCTCAGAGTCCAGGCAAGCCCTCCTACCCCAACCTCCTCAATCCCTGTCTCATCTGCCTTTCTGCCTGTGCCTCTGGACACCTGGGGTCAGAACTAGGAAGATCATTTTTCCCTCCCATTGCCTTGGCAGGTGTGAAGCCCCACAACTACTTCTTCAAGCAATTGCAGTGCTTAGCTTAACTGAGTTAACAGCCAGATGGAGAGAAACCCCTGACTTCTGGAGCAGGTGGGAGGCAAAGTTGAGCAAACCTCCCCCCAAATTTATCCCCCTAAACCCAAGCTCTCCCTCCTCCCTAACCACTGTGCAGAGAGCAGGGCCAAAACTGCTTTATCTTCCCTCCTATTAAGTGAGGTTAATGAGTGGGAAGTCATCTATTTCTGGTGAACTAATGTAATATGTGCAAAACAAGGTCATGTGGTCTGGGGAGAGGGGCAGTAAGGAGTTCCTATAAGCCCAAGATCACACGCTCCCAAAATTCTGCCTCAACCTTGGGAGTGATTGGCAGTCATGCGGGCCAGAACCTACAGGCACCTTTACTCCAGCTGTGCAGGCCAGGGGTGAGGAGGCAGTGAGAAAGAAGTACGCACTGCACATTTCTGCGGATACTGCATTTGCTTTCAAGGCAGAAATCTTGCTCTCTGAGAAGAGTCAGCAGCTCCTACTTGGGCGATAAGGAAGCTCTCAGTGGCCTCTCCCAGGCGGAGCAGGGAGGAGCCTGACCTTGCCTGCCTCTTCTGGGGCCTGTGGCAGGTTGCAGGACGTCCAGTGGCACAGACAGCTCTGGGCCTCTAGCATCTGTGTTTTTCAGAATTAAATTGCAGTATTTTGGAAAGTACACCCTGTCCGCTGTTTGTTTGGAGTGGGCCTGGAGGAGGGATCATGTTGAAGGGGTTGTTATTGCATGTTGGGGGAGGGGAGGGGACTGTCATTGCCAAAATCATTTGATCCTCATTCTTCAGTGTCCTCAAAGGGTCACCTCACCCTTAATTGGCTGCTCCCCAGCCTCTGAGCAGCATCTCATCTGGCAAAAGGGAGCGGGAAGGCTTACTTTACAGTCCTAGTCATTTTACTTTCCTTTCCCTCTGGAGTATACCCTGAGATTGATTACCTGACTCGGCCGGCCTCTCCCCACCCCACCTCCCTAACCAAAGGCTGACGCCAGTGTTCACGCCTTTGTCCTAAGGGGCGTGCCTCAGGACAGGTGGCCTAGCCTCGGGCTCTCCGCTGAGCTCTCGCTCCGCCCCAGCAGTGATCAGAGCCTTTCCGCAGGTCCTGGAATAGTGCAAAGTGACTGCACACGTAGAGAAGCTGTTATTCAGACAACATCGGTCTAGTTCTTACGACCACCCGCCCTCGGGCCCCAGTTTCTCGGACAACAGTGGCTCCCTTCTCGTTGTCCACCAGACTTTGACTGAAGGCGATTAAAACAGGAGGGTCCTTTACCCAAGGGCTGGTTGTCTTCAATCTCCACCACTGCAGGGGATCGGGGGAGGGGGGGCGGAGGAACCAGAACTCAGCATGAGGGGCCCTCGGCCCAGTACCTGGAACTTGCCCCAGCTCCGCCCCGCCAGCCCCACTGGGCACTTCGTAACAAACACTTCCACTTCCTGAGTCCTCATTCTTCGCCCGCCGCGGGGCGCCTTGCGAAGTTCAGGCTCCGCCCTCGCACCTTCCTATTGGCCAGTATCGTTCACCCGGCCCGAGCGCCCCCTGTCTGTGGATCCTGATTGGTCCGCGGTGGTCCACACCCTCCGCGCGGCTCCGCCCTCGGCTTTAGGGGGCCGAGCGGGTTCTGGAAAGCTCAGACGCCGCGCGGGGTGGGGATTGGCTCACGTTTCTCCATCGGTTCTTGGGTGTTTGCTGCCGCCGTTCCCCGGACACCCGCTTTACTCCGCCGGTCCTGCCTCGCTCCCTCCCGCCTCGTGGTTCGGGGAGAGAGGCTGGGCCGTCGCATCCCCGGCCCCCGACGGGACCCCGCGGAGCCGTCGCAGAGCAAGATGAGCGCGGGCTCGGCGGCCGGGGCGCTTCTGCCCCGGCTGTGCAGCCTAGAGAAGGGCCCGAACGGCTACGGCTTCCACCTGCACGGGGAGAAGGGCAAGGTGGGCCAGTTCATCCGGCTGGTGGAGCCCGGCTCGCCGGCCGAGAAGGCGGGGCTGCTGGCCGGGGACCGGCTGGTGGAGGTGAACGGCGAGAACGTGGAGAAGGAGACCCACCAGCAGGTGGTCAGCCGCATCCGCGCCGCGCTCAACGCCGTGCGCCTGCTCGTGGTCGACCCGGACACGGACGGGCAGCTGAAGAAGCTCGGCGTCCCGATCGGGGAGGAGCTGCTGCGCGCCCAGGGAGGGCCGGGGCAGGCCGAGCCGCCGGCCGCCGCGGAAGCACCGGGGGCTGGCGACGAAAATGAGCCGCACGAGGCCGAGAAGAGGCAACCCGAGCGGGTAAGAGCGGGTCCGGGTCGGGGCTAGAGGGGGCGGAGGGGTGATCGAGGGGAAACTCAGGCACCCCGGACATCGAGCTCCTTCTAAAACGTGAGTTATGATGGATGGGACCACTGCTTCCGCCCGCCCACCCGGGGCTCTCGCAGTTTCTGGGTGCACTTGGGGCAGTGTCCCGTGACCCCATCCCTTTGCCTGTGCCGGCCTGGGAGCCTGAGCGTCTTTGCCGCCTTCTTCTCTTGTCCCTTGTCCTTTGGGAGGGCGGCGCGAGGAAGCCCAGTTCGTTTTTTCTCGGCTCCCGTCTCTTGCAACCCTCCAAACCCGTTGCTCCCCGAGTCTCTTTCCTGGGCCACCAGGAAAGAGATGTCAGCTTCCCCCGCCGTCCCGGAGAGTGGTAACAAGCTGGAGTAAAGGCGAGCGCGTCCCGACCTGAGAAAGCTGGAGGAATAACAATCTCCTTTCTGTGCCGAGCCCCTGGCGGGGACAGAAGATCCCTGGGAGGCTCTCCCACACCTACCCGCATCCCTTCAGCCCTCTGGTGTGTTTAACATTAACTTCACCCAGTCTGGACTTCATCCTCCTGAAGTGCAGTGTGGCGGTTTTTTGTTTTGTTTTGTTTGTGGTACTGGGGCTTGAACTCAGGGCCTTCACTTTGAGCCACTCCACCAGCCCTATTTTTTGTGAAGGGGTAGGGTCTTGCTCAGGCTGACTTTGAACCGCAGTCCTCCTGACCTCTACCACCTGAGTAGCTAGGATTACAGGCGTGAGCCACCAGCACCCGGCCAATGTGACTTCTAAGAAAGAAAGGAAGCCCCAACGTCTCTAGGCGATGTGTGGGGGTGGGGTGCAGGGAGGAGGAGGCGCAGAGGCGTCTTGGGGGTGGTGGCTCTGCCACTCTGGAGGATTTATGATTCTCAGGAATGTGAGGAGTAAGCGCTAGCTTGTATCAGGGAACCGGAGGGAGGACCTTGGAGGAGGAGGAGAAAGATGACTGGGGGAGGGTACAGGCACACTGCCAGGCAGTGCCAGAGGAGCTGACTGTGGGCAGGTGGTCTTGTCCTGGCATTGCCATTTCTTACACTGGTACTCAGACAGCAAGCAGGCTGCATGCTTTTTGCTGGTGTTTGGTGTTTCCCCAAACTGTCCCAGTTTGAGTCGGCCGCATGGAGGGGCAGCTGACAAAACAGGAGCTGTTGTGCTGAGCTTCCAGTTCCCAAAGAGCAAAGGGGGTGGGAAGGCGGTTTTCTTGTGCAGACTGTGGGAGCAGGGTCTGTCAACAGGTACCAGCTTGCTACCTGATGGCAGCGGGTGGCAAGGGTGCCCGTGGGGCTGGGAAGATCCTCCCTGGACAGAGAAAGGGTACAGTTCAACATTAAGGTAGAAGGTGGAGCCTGAGAAAACCAACTGGTTTGGTGGAAGTGAGGTCATCAGGAGCCCTGTCCAGCCAGAGCTGGGTGCTGGGAATGCCAGGGCTACCAAGCTCCCACTTCCTGCCACTGCCAAGCTGGCATTGGTAAGCAGTGGGGGAGAGGTACGAGCACCCTGGCAGGAAGCTGGAACTGATGACCTCTGCTCCCAGGCAGAAACCCAGCTTGAACTTTGCCCTCCATTGATTTGCTATTCCCCTTTATTTTTCCTCTGGACTTTGACACCAGCACAAATTACACCCCCCCCTCCCATCACTTCCAAGTTGCTGTTCAGCTCCTCCCTTTGCCCTTTTGGTTGTGGATGTAGGGAGGCTAGAGTAGAGGATTGACAGCACACATTCCACCATGCCATCTGAAAAGGCAGTGGGCTGTGTTTCCTGCTCTCTGGGAAGTCCTCTGAGCACAGAATCAGGTTCTCCCAGGCACCTACATTTGTGTGTATTTCTTAGGCCTGGAGACAAGACATCATCTTGGGGATACCATCACCAGGCAAGTCAGTTGTCCTCTGGACTTTGATTATCCCATCTATAAAATAGGAGCAGTGTACAGTTGTGATTCCTGCCTTCTCTAGAATTTTAGAAATAGTGGGAAGTACTTGTGCCCCTACTGCCCCTACAAACTGCTAGTTGAGTTTTGTGCAGCCAACTCGAGTTTTACACATAGCTATTTATTTATATATTTATTTAGAGACAGTTTTTTGCTATGTAGCCCAGACCGATTTTGAACTCAAGATCCTCCGGTACTAGTATTACGGGTGGGATTATAGGTGTATACCACCACACCCTGCTGTAAGAGTTTTTTTTTTTTCCTAAAAGGCATCCCTGTTGTGATGAGGTGGTGGAGTGGTTAAGGCCATGAATTGCTAAAAGGCATCTCTTTCCTACATAAAACAAGTAACTGAGATCCCCTCATTAGTTGTAGCCTGAGTTTGTTTGCAGAGTGGGGTCTGTTATTTCCATTGGTTCTCATAAGGGAAGGAGGTGTAAATGGAAAGGCGCTGTGCCAAGATTTGTTGGCTAGGTGGCATCTTGTGGGGATGACCAGCCTGGGTCAAGAACAACACAGGACAGGGGATGATGGGTGCTGGAGCACTGGCACTCCGTGTTGGTCAGTCAAGGCCTGAGGAGTTGTAGGTGGGCTTCCAGCTCTGCCCACCTGCTTTCTTGATGGCTTCCCTCCCTCCCCCATTCACCAGCAGTCACAGGAAGAGGCCTATACCCTCGAGCTTCGCCCCAGACTGATGGGTGGGTATGCTTCCCGAGCCAGCTCAACTGTACTAGCTGCGCTGCGTTAAGCCAAGTTACTTCACCTCCCTAAACCTCCATTTCCTCTTGTGTAAGTTGGGGGTGAGGCGGTGACCTCACGAGGCTGTCAGGAAAACATAAGGATGTGTGTACGTCACTCAGTACCTGGCACTAAGTAAAAGCTCAGTTAATGTTGGTTGTTGGCATTTGAATTAATAAATAGTTCACAGTGATTAATTCACCCACCATGGGGCAACTGGCACTGATCTGCCCGCCCTAGCTGGGCAGGTGCAGCTGTGGCCAAGCTCAGGGCTCAGCAGTGCTCAGAGGTTACATATTACATGTTAACAATAACCTGTTAATAGTTATATGTTGACCCATGACCCTCCACAGTCTGGTGGCCTGCTCTCCCTATTGCCCCGTGAGCCCCCAGCCACACTCAGGGTCTGAATCCCCTTTAGCACGCCATGCCCTCTGAGCCATCACACCCTTGATAGCCTCAATTTGGTAATCCTGTTCCCTTCTGCTCCAGGACCAAGAACCTCTCATGGAGCCTTTCCTTGATCCTCAGAGGCGAGCTAGCACTTCCGGTTCTTCTGCTCTTTGTCCTCCTCTATCTTTGATCCCTCTGAATATGCAGTACTTCAGTCATGTGTTCATGACCTCCTCCACTACTTGGAAAGCTGAGGAGCAATATCCATGGCTTATTTGTATTGCTATCTCCAGGACTGTGCCAGGCCACTGTAGGGAGGTGCTCAATAAATATTTTTGGGTTGGTGAATGAATACATAACAGCTGTAAAAGACCTTTGTCCCAGGTCATCCCAGTCTAGCACACCTGGGCTTGTTTGTCCCCTCCAGCACACCCAGAGACTGGAATTCCAGATAGAAGCAACCCACTCATTCTTTCTTGCCTCCTGGTAGCTTCTGTTTCAAGGCTATGAAGTCAAAAGTCTAGAGAGTGGTGTCAGCTAGATCAGTTTGAATTCCAGCTCTACTGCTTCCTGGCTCTGGAACCCAAGGACCTTTTGTTCTCTGCAAGCCTTAGCTTCCACCTCTGTGAAATGGGGATACCAGCCCCCAGCCAGGAGGAAAGACTCAATAAAATGACAGGTGTGAATGAGAAGGCACCAGGTTCCACCAGCCTTGACTATGACTCCAGAGGCAGAGACAGTGTAGGCACCCCGGGTGTGGTGGTGGGTGAGTGGGCATGATAGAACAGACCTCTTTTCCAGGGCCGCAGGTCATTCCCACTGGCCAGGATGGAGCTTTGGAAGGGCAGAAGCAGCCTGGAGTTGCTGTTTGCTTGGGTTTGGAATGCACAGGCCACGTGGTAATTTGTGTGTTGCTTCTTCCTTTTAAGTCACATGCTTGGGATGGATTTCTCAGCAGAAGCCCTGGTTCTTACCTTTAGTCTCTTCTTAGTGTGGTCATTCTAGAAACGATTCTCTTGAAGGTAGAAAGGGGTTTCAATCTCAGGGAATTTCCTGAGCCCAGATGAGGATCCTCCCCCAGACTTCCCATCCCAGGACCCCTGGAAAAGTGAGGCACTGCCTTGGAATTAGAGGAACAGGAAACTCAGCCAAGGTCAGTAGTGACAGCCACTTTGCTGGGAGAAACTGGAGCTCTAGACCCCAATAATAGATGTTCCTCTGCTCTGCCCTTCTAAGGTAGACTGGCCCAACTGGGGTAGTATACTCAGATTTGCATCGTGCCTAGTTCCCCAGCCTGGGCCATAGGATAATCAGTAGACGTCCTTGACTCCCCCACTACAACCCTGCAAATTAGGTATTGTCTTCTCATTTTGTAAGTCAGTAGTGGGTGTCCAATACATGATAGCTGTTATTATTTGTGTCTGATGATGCACTGAGTTCTAAACATGCCTTATCCCCTTGAATGCACATGACTACCCTCTAAGGCAGGTATTGGCTCCATTCTCTACCTGAGACTGAGGCTGGATCAGTTAAGGTGGCAGTTAGGTGGCTGTCACCAGGACTCTCAGTGATTGCAAAGCAGCTGTCTTCGTCCCCAACCCTGATGCCTCCCTTCAGCCTTACCGTTGGGTTGCACTTCAGGGTGTGGTTCTCCAGCTGAGCATCTCTGCCCATCATAACCTGGACCACACCAGGACTATCACTGTGGCATAAATTCAGCTGCTTGGGGCTGAGGGTGTAGCTTAGTAGCAAAGAACTTGCCTAGCATGCACAAAGCCACAAGTTCAATTCCCAGCACTGGAAAAAAAAAAAAAATCAAAATCAGGCTGTTTGATCCCTTCATGGGCTGAGCTAGGCCCAGAGTCTGGAAACCAAGTCTCTGCCCCCAACCTGTCCTTT